CTTCCGAATTTTCTGTCCTAGGGGAGTTGTTTCATCCATAGAATCATAGAATCATTTAGGTTGGAAAAGACCCTTAAGATCATCGAGTCCAACCAGTGTGAATACTTTCAGTATTAAAGGACTTAAAATTGGGTTTGCCATGAAAAGACCCCACTGAGGTTCTACAGCTTTCTCTTCGTTAGATTTTAACTCCAGTAACGCTTCAAAACCCGGGAAGCTTTTTTCATGAACAGAGGTTCATCACAACTGGCATCCTCCCATGAAACATTCTGGTGAATTTTAAAGCATTATCCTACCATTTTGTAATAAATAAAGGAAATACAAACCCCATCAGCTCCATGGGGAAGCACTACCGCACTCATTTTGCAGCTAAATGCTTAAAGGACAGAGAAACTTAGTCCAGGCAGATGCTGGGTAGAATGCGGGTCTGCATTTCTCAAGGGTATGGTTTGCACATCAGCCAGATACATGACCCAGGAGCAATCCACCTCATTTTAGACACCCAGCGGAGACACCGACAACAGCAACATGATAACCCTGCGCTCCCTCCTGTGCCCATGCCCATGCCCCGAAACTCAACAGCCTGTGCAAACTCAAGATGTTGTAATGCAGACTGGGAAGGCTGCACAAAGATTTGGTCTTTTAGTGCAAGAGCTATCTATTTGTGTAAAAGGCATCATAGAATTGCAGATCTCATTATGGCATCTCAGATTCTGGAGCAAACTTTGGAAAAAATGATTTTCCAGAAAAATTGTTAAATAGAAAGAATTCATGTCTTTCCAAATCAAGCAGCCACCATCCTGATTTTTTTTCTTGAGGAAAGTGGAAGTTATATAATAGGAGCTGAGAATGGACTAATTAGTCTAAAAAGCAAAAGCTATTTACTAAACACTGGCCTCATGGGCGCACTAGAAAGAATGGGAGAAAAAATGTGCATGGAGAAAGATTGTCAGAAACTTGCATCTCGGAATAGAAATATTCACATGAGATAATCTCCATTATGTGGACACTGGCTGTCAGTAAGAATGTGTATTGAAAATAAATTAGTTATATCCTTCAATTGTCATGGCCACTGAAAATAAATAGACATCCAGCAACAAAGGCATAGCAGGCACAAGCTAAGTTATTGTGTTACCTCTGAAATGAATTGGATGTGCAAGGAAGCACACGTTACACATTCCATTTAGCAAATGACCTGACTGAAAAACATGCTCACACACCAGAACACACATCCACTGCCATTGTCTGAATATGTCTGGCAGGGCTCGGCTGCTGGGGCTAATTTTCGCAGCAAGGTGGGACTGAGACAGCCGGTTCCCCCTGCTGCTCATGTTCTCAGTACCTACAACCAGGTCATCCCATCAGTCATTCTGCATTTGCCCCATGGGCTGAAAGGGTTTTCACAGGCTTTTCTCCCCTGTTGCCCAATGCATTTGCTGTGCCACACACAAAAATCTCCTGCAAGGCTCCCCTGCCATTGCTCAGTTCATCCCGTGCTGGAACAGCAAAGGACCACGAGCCACGCCACAGGCCCAGGAAAGAGACTTTGCTCCAGCACACCCACAGAGATACCCAGAAAATCACAGCAGTGTGTCTAGGGCTGATGAGCCACAGCTTTACCACGCTCAGCAGCAGTAGGATGAGAAGACCTTAATGTCACGTTGAACAGCATGAGAACAGCTCCTCCAGAAAAATGCCATCTGCGAGGTCATTTTCAACTGAGACCTCCTGGAAGGAGCAATGCAGAAAAAAAGGAGGGGATTTCCTCGGCTGCTGCCGTTATCAGGCTTCCCTCCTCCAAATACTCTAAGGGAATGGGTTCGCTAAAGTGCGTTTTGCCGATTTTCTATTCTTCATTGCTTTGCCTACAGCAGAGGTCTGCATTATCTTATCTGCTGCTCAGTGCATTGCAATGCCAGCTCAGGAATCAGCACATATTCTGCTAAGACCTTTCTGTTCCCTTTGGATGTATCTCTGCAGAAAAGCTTAGGGGACTCACGCCTCTGAGCAGACCGTAATAGGTGGAAACGTTGTCTGAGAGGCATTAAACATTATCCTGGGGAGAAGGAACAGAGTGTAAGGAAAGCACAGCTCAAATCCCGTTAATAAAGCAGTAACAGAGAATTGAAACAGGGAAGTGGAGGAGGAAGGAGGGTAAAGTCACGTTTTCAAAGTGCCAAGACACTGCCATTCCAGCTTCTGCTTTCCCACGTGGCAAAAGCAACATGTGCTTTATTCAGGGGACACACTGCACACGACACCCCCCCACACACACCATGCATCAAAAGGGGCGGCTGACCAGCTGGCAATACTGCACTAATTTCTTTAGCAGGACCTTATTGCAGAGTTAACTGCTTTGATGCAGCCTCCTACTGCAAAACGCCTGCCTCTTCTGCTCCCAGATGCATGAATTTGAGGAGTATAGAAGAAGAGCCGGAGTTCTTCACCATGATGACGTATTACAAAACTGCTCTGGGATTTGCACCCTCTGTTTCCTGGCACGAAAGAAATCAGGCTTCAGTGATGATGCTTCTCCTCTTTTTCCAACTGGTAATGCAGCAGAATGGATGGGCTGTCACAGAGCCTATATGCAGTTGCAACAGGTCGTTGGTGATTAAATGCAAAATTCATCTAGGACATGAGGTTCTGATTCAGCCCGGAGGCAGTTCAAAGATCTTTACAGCATGCTCCCTGTGGAAAGACCTACTCAGCTTTCAAGCAGACACTTTTTGCTGCCTTTTATCTCTGAGAGGTAAAGTCTGGAAGGAAAATGGGATTGTTGTGTCCCTTTTGAGTGCTGCTCCCTGGATTTCCATAACCGGGGGGATTACCTGGAGTCAGTGAGACTGAAGCACCTGCCTCTGTTAGAAAGGCACAGCAGGCAATGCTGGGAAGATGTTGTCTTCTGGATCATCTAGGAGCTGCTTTGCAGAATGGACTGAAGTATTTCACTGCCCTGTTTCTGAATCTCTACGGTAATTTGACAAGGACAAGCACTGTCAGTCTGTAATACCCTATCTGTTTCTAGCTGGCCCTAACCTGTTTTAGCACAGCAAGGATTTATTCGGCAGACAGGGAACATTTAGTCTTTCTGGAAACTACTGTATCCCCCATGGCATTGTTTCAGAAGCAGCTACCCTGAAAAACTAAATGGCCAGGGAGACCCCACCATGTCCCAGGGAGGCTGCTAAGAGCTCCTGTCTTATCTGAGAACAGGACCTGCTTTTTCAAGTCCTGCAGATATTTTGAATGTGCTGTTTGCTTGCTGGCTTTGAGGCTTTTGCTTTTGGCGTTTATTGCATTATTGGGAAGCCCACAGGCAGAATACCTCCCTCTCCTCACACCCTCGCTATGGTTAGGGGAGGTCTGTCCATCCTGTTGGGATCTGTCCTCACTCCCTAACTCCTCTGTCCCCTGGACTTTTGCATCTGTTTCTCCTTTTCTATCCCATTCTCCAGACTTAGTCACACATGGCTTTTCTTTAGCAAGCTCTTCTCCTAGTGACTTTCTTGATACCTTCCCATGACTTGCATGACCCAACCTCTGCTCAGACCTGCCCAAGGAGCAGAAGCAAAGCAGCAGTTTGCCTGGATATCCAGTTTGAAATGGGCAAGGCATCAGGGTTATGCACAGGCAATAACTGAGGCATAAAATTATATGTTCCTGCTCAGACGTTTAAAGAGAGCACAGTCCAGGTGATGGAAATTACTTTGTAGCATGAGTCAGTTGGACTCATTTGCTGGGAGATCCAAAAGCAGCAGAGACAGAAAATATTCCCTTCTCCTAAAAACAGACAAAGATCCTGCTGACAAACCAGACCGTCACAAAACCTGTTATGGCACCTGCCTGTCTGCAGGACATATAGTAGTGAGCAGAACAAGCAGCATCACTCCCAGAGAAACAACCAGCTGAAAGCTGTAGTGTTACCGACTTCAGGATTACCAAACCCCGCAACTGGCTGAATTGGTGTGAAGGGACTGGCCAGCGTGGCCTGAGATCAAAGTACAACTTAGCTCAGTCCCAGCCCGCACACCCACGTCTCTGCCAGGGCATGACTCAAACCACCAGCCTAGGGGGAGCGGACCCCTCTGCAGCCCCTTGCCCAGCCCAGCACCCTCACCTGCCCCAGCAGCACGGGGGCATCAATTCTTCCAGGCAACTGACTTTTTATTTTTATTTTAAGCTGATACTTTTTGCCGGCCAAACTACCCGGGCCAGCCTGCACTGCCATCAGGGTGTCGTCCAGAAGCTGTAAACTGAGCAGCATCTGCTTCCTTCAGGATCCTCAGGCTACCTGGCTTGCTCCACCTCCCCGCCAGCCTAAGAGCAGACTGGGCTCAGAGCAGAGCCTGATTTCTTTTCCTCATCTTCTTTTTTTTTACCCCCTTCTCTCTAACACAGCACCAGGAAGGGACCCAGCTGCTGCCCACACTGCACAGCAAACTAGGATTTATGAGCCAAGACCACCAGGAACAAGTCGAAAAATTTCCCCTTCCAAGATTTCAGCAAGGCTACAAACACCTGGGGAAATACAACTAGCTAATGGACATCACTCAGACCATCCCCACATGCCTGCCTTTCTTGCTGGCCTCTTTCCAGCCCTCTCTACTTTCTTCGGCTGGCTAACATTCACTGGCCATAGCAAGAGACCCCCAAGCCCCCTCTGATGCTCAGCAGGACCCATCTGACGCCCTGGTCTGACACCAGGCAGCCACCTGAGAGCCGTGGGCCTTATGCAGGATGGAGGCTGGACCTGCTGCAAGCCCCTTGCAGGGCTGGCTCCACGTAACCCCCCATTAGGACTCCAGCAAACAAACTTCAACTCAACAGGCTGCCTCCTCCTCCTCCTCTGTTGTGCCAGAGCCCAGCAGACACCATTCGCTCATCGTACCATGCCCACACAGGTTGGCCAGTGACCTCCAATGCTGTCCTGGTCCTGCAACACCACCACCGTCTGCACACCCAGAGAAGAGAAAAGCAGAGTGTCTGCTCATACTCACAGTTTTGAAGTCCTCATGGTTGCACTCTTGGCCTTTGAATTTGCAGTACAGCATCATATCCTTCAGGTCGTGGCCAACCCGCGCCAGGAACTCCTGCATGTTGAAAACTTTTGGTTTATACTGCTTAAAGTTGGCCTTTTCTTGGAGGATGGCTAAGACAGCTGGGTCAGCCAGGTGAGGGTTGGGGATCTGCAGGTTGACGTCAAGCAGAGCCAGGAGCTCCCCAGCGTGGTACAGGTCGTTGGTAGTGAGCCGGGAAAAGCGAAACTCGTTGAGGTTACAGATGGTGACAGCAGGGAAGACCAGGCTGTTTGCCACGACCTCATCCACTTTGGTTACATGCTGGTAGGAGAAGTAGAAAGCCACCCGGTCTGAACTCTCAACCAGGAGGAGACCCAGAGAGCCCACAAAGGCCAAGGTCCAGAGCAGGCGACGGATGGTCACTGGCCCGTAGACAAAGACATGACGGATCCCGTGGAGCGTGGAGGTGTTGGCAAAAATCTGGATGCTGGAGGGCTGCAGGCTGCCCATGCTGCCCTCGCTGGTGCTGTCCTTCAGATCCATCAGGGATAGTTAGTTAAATCCTGGCACTGCTTTTTGGGTCAGTCTGTAGCTGGAACTGGGATCCGGATCTCTCCCCTCCCCTCTCGAAAGTAATTAAACCCTTTTAGGTGTTGGAGACAGAAGGAGAGTCTCAGGCCAGCTGCTGCGAGTTTATCCCACAAGCTCAGCAGTAGCTTCGTAGGGGTAAATATTTATATAAAATCCATTTAAACTCTCGCTCTTGATTTCTTCGGTGCGATAAGAAGGGCTGGTTTTATTTAGGGAGACACCAAGGTGATGTGGAAGAGATGTGGGTGGGCAGCGAAAGCTGAGCCAATGGAAATAAAGTCCTCCCCCTACACACACACACAAGCAAACACACACGCGCCGAACAGAGATGAGATTAAGCGAGAGAGCAAGCTTAAAACAAGTCGAGGCAGCTCGCAGCCTGTTAACCAGTGCGTAAAGCCAAGGATGCCGCTTTCCACAGCTGATGTCTTGCAGAGCAGTGGGGCTTTCAGACCGATCGGGTGATGTTCCCTGCGCTCCGGGGATGTGAGCTGCTGGATTCAGGCATCTCTCCTCCTCCCCACCCCTCCATTTTGGGCAGGGCTCCAAGGAATACCACCCCAAAAACCCACCCTGTGCTGCCGGTGTTATTTCCGAGGGCTTCTCTCAGGGGAAGGTGGGCAGCTAATTAAGCAGGAGAAGTACAAGAGGAAAA